TGCCAGTTACTGTGCACACTGTTCTCAGTACTTCATATTTGCTTGGCCCAGCTGAAAAGACGAGTCACTACTGAAAAGGAAAACCAACAGAGGCAACTTGACATTTAAAAAATGCTGTCGCAAGATGGAGCAGAGGGTGGAAGTGATGTCATAGTCTGACGTCAAATAGGCTTACTAGGCGACAGTACATTTGCCGCTCCGAAAACCGGTTCTCACATAGGTGGGAACTTTTCCTCTGTGTAGTAATATCTGGTAACTTAGCTGGAATTATTCAAGTTTTTAATTTCTATTCCAGACGGATGTGGAAGTGGCATACTGTTTTAACAGATACTGGTCCACTGAGGAGTAGATGCCTTGACTGGATCCTGAGCAAACTAGTATAATCAGCACGTTCAGCTGAGCGGCGTGTGTAAGCCATAACCGTTTTCCGGTCACGACTATCTGTCAGTCCGGAGAGATCGCGAGTTGCGACACGCCGTTCAGTGCAAGCGGTGAGACCGATAAAGCCGTGTTGCATTGTACGACAGCATGCGTCTCCCAGAGCAAATGGTTTCATAACTACAGCAGGTCAAAACCGTGAGGCGTAGTCGTACGGTAAATTATAGCCTTCCGTGTCACGGTTACAGGACGAAATCGCTGAAGAGCTTTTGGCAAACTTATTGGAGCCAGAAGGGGTATGATGAGAATGATGTACCTGAAAAGGCCCACCGTAAAATAAGGGGATGAACCCCCCCCATTCCCCGCCAAAAGTAATCCTACTCAAAATTCCGGGAGGGGTAAATACTCCAGTGTCCTAACTCTAATACTAACCCTAGTCCAAGCCTTGATCCTAAACCTAGCCCTAAATCCAACCTCACCTTGACCCAAAACCTGATCCTAACATAAACGCTATCCCTAACCCCAATCCTACTTTTAGCATTAACCCTAATCTCCCTGGAAATCAGCGCATTGGCTCTGGATAATGATGGGCGTTCCCGTTCCCCTGTCTTGCCAGGTCTACTACCAACGCGAATACCAGAAATCGATCATACGACGCTATTTTGTGCAAGATGTTGATGAAGGCAGTCGTTTGTATGCCCTACAGGTTGTGTACGCATTCCGTTAGACCGCGATTTTAAAAAGGGCATCTTAAGGCACGTCCTACAGTTTTCCCAAAATAACCCTATCATGCAGTTGATTTATCTGGTTAAGTTTATTTCGCTGCGGGAGGATTTCTCGACCCAAATCGATACCACTTTTATGCGTATGCCACAAAACCGTTGTAACACGACGACTGCGTACTCAACGCCGCCTCCTCAGGGAAAATGCAGAGGAGCATTGACTCTTCCCCACCGCCTGCGAGAACTTCGGTCTGATCAACACGGAGAAGACGGTGGTTATGCATCGACCGCCACCCGACGCTGCCTACGTCGCACCCCCAAATCGGCTTGAACGGCTTCCAACTGCAAGTCGTGGACAACTTTACCTACGTGGGCAGCACCCCCTCCCGCAACACCAAAATCAATGATGAAGTGACCTGACGTATTTCCGGAGCCAGCCAAGCCTTCGGCCGTCTGCAAAAGACAGTTTGGAATCGACAAGGCCTCCATCTCAACGCCAAACTCAGGATGTACAAGGCGGTCAACCTGTCGACGCTGCTCTATGGAGCGGAGACCTGGACGGTGTACAAGAAGCAGGCGCGACGACTCAATCATTTCCGCCTCAGCTGTCTTCGACGGATACTGAAGCAGAAGATGTTGGCCGTAGCCAACAGCCGTTGACCAAGCAGCCTTGGATAGCGAATCGCTCCTATGCGCACAGAATAACTTCATACAAGTCCCACGGTTGCCATGGTTCAAAGCCACCAGGCCAGCCACCCGCATACAATTACCTGTCCTGGAGACCACCTTCTCCCTGGCGCTGACGGGGATTTTGATGTTTCACTCCCCCCCCCACCGTCCCGAACCCAAGCTACAGCATAATTATCTATTTGCTCGTATCTTTTAATTCACTATTTCAATAGCCATATAAATGTACAGGACTGGGGAGTATTTATCGGAAGCGGACGTATGTTCGGCAAACTGCCTTTTGAAATTTCCGTTTGTTTATTGCTGATCCACGGCTCGAAACTTCTTACGGTTGTAAGCTATTAGGAATAATAGCTCCTTTTGCTCCTTCATGCATTTCGATAAAATTGACTTTGATAAGAACCCCAAAACTAGGATTATGTATCAATACGGTGGCGAATTATTGGGAACCAGTTTCTAATCATACACGAGTATTGCGCGTCTCCTGCCTGACTTTCGTGAAGATACTTGACCATATTCATAGATGCGTATCATTTGGGTTTCCTGTGCACATATTCAGAAAAGTGAGGCAGCATGCTAACTAATGCATTATTACGTCCTGGATATCTTGGTAGTTCTTTCGTCGCAAGCGACAAGATTGAGCAACGTCGGGATGAGCAGTGGTGATTTTTGTGTTAACTGTCCCCATCGCGATAACACATTAACTGCCTTCACTGCCTGCACTGTACACGCACATTCATTCGGCCACATGCGCGCCGACGTAAGCGGAATTAGCTGCAATATCGACACGTCAAACACACCATGCATAACCGACAACGCTCCCTTATCCGGCACGAACGACCCCATCATGCAGCATGACTACAGCCAACAGACTCACCACCCCAACTGATTCTACAGCCCCGAACTCATCATGCTCTCACTGCCAAAGGAAATTTACGTCACGCATCGGCCTAGCCGGTCACTTTCGAATCCATAGCACAGAGGATATCGAACCAGTACCAGGAGCATCAGAATACATCACCTCACCTGCCTCTACTGTTCCTACTTTTCACTCACATTCGTTCGTCCCATGGGCCAATTAGGCCAAATACGCATTCATAAAAACCCGCGGTGAACCGTCGTAGACGCAACCACATCATTGCGCAGACATTTCTCCAAAATTCCACATTAATGACACCTCGAGCGCAAGGGAGAAGTGTGTGTTTCGGCTTCGCTCCGTGTGTGTGGGTATGTGTGTGTCAAAAGGTCTGTAAGCATGTGCTATGCCAGTATCAGCAAACAACGGCCCTCGCAGCCTGGTATGCGCCGGCAGATCCCTGACAACTGGTGCCCTGCCGATGGATGTGATTGTGCTCCCGTTAGGTACACAGGTGGTGGGGATGGCTGTTCAGCCATCCTCGTCGCTCTGGTCCCTGCTGGGTGTGGTTCTTGTTGTTGTTGGCGAAAAATCCTAGTCATTTGCTAAGTGGAGCAGGGGGAACACCAAGATGCGGGCTCGACCGTGCCATCCACCTGCGCCGTCCCCCGTCTCCAGTCTTCTTGACTCTGTCTTGACACCGGGTTCAGGTGGGCGGGGGGGAAGTGTGGTAGATACAACGCAAGTCTACTTCACTATAAATCACGCGCAGGTCACCGTCCCTGCTCTCACCCTGCTGAGGAGCATACGGTGGACACCGTTGGATTCCGACGGTCGAATTGTCGTCGTGCGTGTACGGGGTGTAGGGGTGTCCAGCGGTGGGTTCACGTGACGGTCGTAGTAGGTCGCTCACTTGCTTGCAGGTTCAGACTGCGCCTAGCGTCCATTTGCTGGCACCCAACTCTCGCATGTGGCTCCACGTAGCTGGGCCCTGCCCAGCGGCCACACCACGGTAATCGCCTCGACCGGCGGGCTAAACCAGGTGAGGGTATCCCTGCGTGCGCCTGCCCGCACGGTAATGTGGATCCTGCTGGCCGGATTGGTCATCGCGTCGGCACTGTCGAGACGAGGCTCCGTCTGGACCACCTCAGGAGGCCACGTGACAAATGAACCTACAGGTCCTAGACTAATTCGGGTCGTTCTGTAACTACACTAAAGCCGGGCACTGCTCCTCTCCTCAGCGCCGACGGCAGCACCCTCCTGACTGAGAAGACACGAATTCTACAGCGATGGGCCGAGCATTTCCGAGGCGTCCTCAACTGCCCCTCCACCATCTCCGACGCCGCCATCGCCTGTCTGCCGCAAGTGGTGACTAACTTGGAACTCGACCTCCCGCCCTCTCTCAGTGAAACCATCAGGGCCATGCAACAGCACTCCAGCGGGAAAGCGCCCGGAACTGACGCGATCCCTGCTGAGGTCTACAAGCACGGTGGCCCCCAACTAATGGATCACCTGACTGCGCTCTTCCAAGAGATGTGGCGTCAAGGAGAATCCTGCAGGATTTCAAAGACGTCACAATCGTGCATCTATACAAGCGAGATGGAAACCGCCAACTCTTCGACAATCACCGAGGCATCTTCCTGATGAATATCGCCGGGGAAATCCTTGCTCGCATCCTCCTCAACCGCCCGAACAACCGCATAGAACAAGGTCTTCTGCCGAAACGCCACTGCGGCTTCCGCCGTAATCGTGGGACCACAGACATGATCTTCGCCGCCCGTAACCTTCGGGATACTTGCCAGGAGATGCGGACCCACCTGTACTCTACCTTCGTGGATCAAACGAAAATCTTCGACACGGCGAATCATGA